TGTCTCCAGGAGCTGGAGAAACCATATGGATTCGGTTTTATCCATAGCCATTTTTGCCATTTCTTTTTTTAGCTTTTCTTTGTTAATTTTAAACTAGTGTGTCTTGAACAGTCTTTCTCTTTCCCTTCCTTCCTCCCCTTTTCTCTCTTTACACATAAGCATCACTAATACTATTCAAAGCAGACTTTATATGTGTATTTAGTGAAGCAACAGATATATAAGAGAGTGTTTAAAGTGTGTACAACTTACAGCAAAAGATCATCATTAAAAATTCAGTTTCCCACACAATATTGTGAGGTCTTGCTGTTTGACAACCTTAATTCTGAAGGGGAAGAATGTTTTAGATTATTTCTAGCTTATGTCTTATTATGTAGTTGGATGTAAATGATTATGAACTGTATAATAATAGAGAAGGAACTTCATATAAGTCATCTTTGTTACTAAAAATAATTCCTTTTTGTGTGGTTTTGGAGAAGATAAAAAGTCATGTCTGACACCTGCATTTTTGTGTTTGTGTCACAGTTTGCAGAAGCAACGTTTTCTTTGTATTTGCAAACGCTTGTAATACAAAAACTATAAGCAGAAGTTGTGTTTATTTTCCAAGCACCATAGCAAAGTATATGCACAAAGAAATATTTTGTTTAAGATTTTAATCTAGGAAAGTCTTATTTCCTACAGTCAGCATTCGCTGTCTCTGATTTCCACCTGTCTTGCGTATTTTTCACATGACATGGGGCACTTTCGCATCCTGTTAGTCAGATAGCTCATTTTCAAGCAAGGCTTTTGTCAGTGTACAGTATCAACAGGCACACTGTCCAAGTAATTCCATTTTGAAGGGACGACAATTCAGTATTGCCAGGGAGTGGGGTATGTGCAGAGAAAACTCCTGCAAAGCATGTGTCTACTGGGAAATAAGTTCTGTTCTTTCCTGCCATCAAGAGTCTGTTTCGCATCTACTGAAGGCATCTCGCAGTAAAATGAGGTAACTGTGATGGGGGCCATGGAGAACTTTTACTTACCAGAAGGGCTAGACACATCACTCTATCTCAGACTTGTAGCTATCTGTATTTATTTGTACACGGGGAACAAGCGTGTCACAGGCTCTGGTAGAGATCACCCTGCTGGTCTGGGGTGAGTCATGCAGACCTTGGGCACTTGTTTCCCTTTAAGGGGAGACAGAAGTTTTGGTAGAAAATAAATACTCTTTGCAGTTGCTCTTCTGTCCCTCCCTGTGTACTTTGTAATAGGTTAATTTAGTATAACAATTACTTTTTGTACTTTGATAATTATGTCAGTACTAGATGATAGTCACTCATTCAGTGATTACCTGCTGTCTTCTTCAGTGGTCATGCCTGTTTCCATGAAGCAGTCTTTCCTGAGCTAACTTTGGAGAGAGACATTTTCGTCTCCAAAATTAACCTTTCCTGAAAACCTTATCACCATTGCATCTGACTGAGCAGGCAGGGAGCTGTGATTGTTCCCTTTAGAAGATAAATTTTTGTTTGGAGAGGCTGTTGTCTTTTTTGCTACATATACAAGGTGTTGAGTATCAAATGGCTGTAATCTGATCTAAGAAAGATACCAGTGTCCGCGATACCCTTTCAATCCTGGTGGCTTTGAGTAGGACTTGGTAGCATTGAACTATTCTTCTTAAGAAGAAATAAGAAAGCATAAAGATACATAGTTGTTTCTATTTTCTGCTTTCTTTTTCATTTTGAATTTTCCTTGCTTTCTTCATTGTAAGTTCTCTGATCTGGATTGCATTTGTAATATCCTTGTGCCTAATAAAGTGTGTCCCCAGTTGGAATTTCTGGTGGGATAATATTAATGCTTCATCTAGCTTTAATTAAAAAGTAATTTATATATATATATTGTGTGTGCTTAAAAATTATGAGTTTAATAGTGAAACTGATTTGCGTCACCTTGTTAATGTTGATGAACTGATAGCATTAGTTGAACCTGCTTGTTCTTGATGAACTTTCCTCTTTTCCAAATAGTGAGGTTCTTAAGGAATCCCATCTGAAAGATAGTGTTTAGTTGAAATTTTTTATCTATTCTGATTCAATAATAGCAATTTGTGTGTACTGTGATTCTTATTTCTGATTTGAAACCTGTGGTCTCATGTCCTTGAGATTTTTGGATTAATTTAAGTGAACTTTTGACAGGTAGCTAATAACTTCAATTCATGTAATAAGGTTCACTTTATGGTAGCCACTTGCACCTCCACTTTGCTGTACCTAAGCATCTGCAAAATGAAACACTTCCAAAGCACTGTTTCAGGATGTCAGTCACTCTGCATCTGTGCATTGTTTTGATGCTGTGTTTCTCACAGCAGCATTTTGGTGCATTCTCCTATGTGTCTGTGCATATAAACTTCTGCTCCCTCAGTACTTTAAAAATTGAACTGGTGCTGTTTACCAGTTATGTGCAGTGCTGTTTGCCAGGGCTTGCATTGAGTTTGTCGGTACCAGGACTTTTCCTTCATGCTCTGTCTCTTGACAGTGCCTGGTGAAGACATATATGATTTTGTGAACCTTTGAGCTAACCTGATTTCTTATTCCATCTATGTCCTTGGATATATTCCTCCAGTACAATATCTTGCATCTTTCTATAAGTTATTCCCTGCAGCCAGACATCGTAAAAACTCAAAGCCAGCCAGACTTCATATGCCTCATAGCTGGGCATATTTTGAAGGCTGGTATACAGACCTGTGAAGGTTAAATGTACTTAAAGAATTTTAAATGGAAAAAAGTTGTAACTTTTATGTTTGTAAAGGGCAAAGTCTATATGTTTTCATACATAGATTGTCACTGGACCATTCAAACAACAAAAAAAAATTGAAGTTGTTGAGATATCTATCCATTTTTTAAATGCTTCAGAAGTGTAATTAAATTCATGTTTTTGAGCTGAGACTTTGTGTCAAACTATATCTGGAAGAAATAATAATTCCTGTGGAGTTTACAGTGCTGTCAGTGGAAATCTGTAGGTTCTGATCAAAAATATCCTTGGCAAAGAATTGCCAGTGTAAAGTGATTTTTAAGATCACTGACTTACCACATTAAAACAAGAAATAAAATAAACAGGTCAAACATAGTGCCTGCTTAGGGTTTTGTTTGTTTGCTTTACCAGTAGGGAGGATTTAATTTAATCTTAACTGTGCAGTTTTGGCTTCATCAGTACTAATGCTATCTACAGCAAGAAATTACCAGAGGAGTTTACACCTCACCACTGCCTTTCTTTTAAATTTAAGTTAAATGTGTTGATTGCATTCATCTGGCTGTAATGCATTTAAAGGCTTGGCTAGTCCAAGATTCACACTGCAAAGGGGTCATGACTGGCTTTCATAGCCTGGTACGAGCAGTAGCATAGAGGCTTTTGGCTTTCAGGGGATAAAGGAACAATTCATTTTGTATCGTGCAGGTTGATGGTGCTAGTTTGTGCCCAAGAATGTTTGAGCGAGCCTGCTTGGAGGTACTTGTGATGCTGCCTGAATTACTGTGAGAGGGGTGCCCTGTTGCCCTCTGAGGTTTTCAGGGACTGAAGACACTTTGCACTTCGTCTTGCCAAGTACTACCATTGTAAGCAGGGATGTTACTTACAGAGCAGTACAGGCCAGGGCAGAATTACTTATGAAAATATTTCTATGGTCAAAATATTTGCTTTGGTTAAGAACTAATGGAATAAGTACCTGCTTAAGTCACTTTTTGAAAGAAATTACTACTTTTAAAGAAAAATACAACTTATTGGAGAAGTAGGATTTAGTCGTTGGTGTTTATCACAGCTGCTATTGTGCATGTTTGTCTTCACAGAGTGTCTTCTCATTTTTCCTCCTGTTTAAAAGGCATTGGGTTGATATTTCAGACCGAGTCAGAGGCTGCATTTGCAAGTTCTGTAATAGATTTAAGATGCTGCTGACTAACGTCGGAATGCCATTTTACAAGATCTTTAAATCAAGATGTCACTGCCCAGTTCTGAGGGGTAGCATGATCTCTGTGGCTGATATTTGGGACGGGGTTACTAATGCAGCAACACGTTTGTTAACAACACTGGGCATGATGACAGGATCATACCGAAGTGCATAAAAGCGGCTGCAGCTGAGCTGTGACAAATGAGTATGTGTGCTTGTTCTTAAGCTATAGCAAAGCAAAATGAAACAAGTTATGTCACTTGTAATGTTAGAGCTCTGAGGCCTTCAGTAGTAATTTAAGCCCATTTTACTCTCTGTTCGTAATGGCTTAAGAATGCATGTATTGCATGATGTGTTTCCGCTGAGAAGGACAAGTGCCTGTCATCATCTGACTGTACCCATCTTTTGATTTCATGGAAGTCCTTGTGCTGTCACTGAGAAATACCTCATTAACTAACTTTGTCTCTTCCCAGAGTTTTTGTTGGGGAAACAAACAGCAGGGCATTTGAACTAGGGTGAACACACACAGAGACTCAAAAATTTCAAGTCATGACATCTGGTTCAAAGCAGGGATGACTTTGAACTGTATTTTAAGCTTCTTGACTGTATTTTAAGCTGTAGGGTCCTTGACCTGGTTGCTATAACTAACTTTTAAGCTGGATACTTTCTCTAGCAATCTGTAGTCAAGCTTGGGATATTTTAACATGGAGCATAACTCATGCACCGTGTTTTCTAAAAGGAACTTTAGGCAGAGATTTTGAAAGACATCTTATTTTACTGTTCCAACATTTGACCAGTACAGAAATACTTATTCCACTTCTTGGCAGTGAATGTTAAGACAAACGTGTTGCTGCCTGTGCTCTGACTGAGGGATGAGACTGCAGTATTTTAGTATAGGTCCTTGAAACCCAGAAGATGGAGAAAAAAAAGTCTCTTAAACATAATAAGAAGCTCCTATGGAGCAGTGTATAAACTTGCTTTGTATAAATTAATATAACAGTAGTGGCCCTACAGTATTTTCAATATATTTTTTCTTAAGGTATATTTAAAGCATAATTTCTAATTCTTGTATATATTTTTAACTTTCCCACAGATATGCACTTATTTGGCCATTATCCAGCTCATGATGATTTCTATCTTGTAGTGTGCAATATCTGCAATCAGGTAGTCAAGCCACAGGTTTTCCAGTCACACTGCGGTAAGTGAATGTTTTCTTTCCTGAATTACAGTGCCAAACTGGCTATGGTTCTCTTAAGAATCATTGCATATGATCATGACAGAGGCATTGCAGATATACTTTTGTGGTTATCTTGTGTTCTTTCCACAGAAAATACCAGTGATGCCTTCAAATAGGCATATTTCCTGTAGAGGAAGTTAGATTAGTTGTTCTAGAAGCTGGGCTTTTGAAGTTGAACTTGTTATACTAAATTAACCTCTTACAACAAATAAATCCTGTTAGCTAGATACTAGCTAGGCTAAAACTATTATGACGTAACATTGGATTGTTTTTCATCAAAGCTGTAAAGTGAGCAGCAGGCTGTGATAATGATCTATATTAAGTAGAAGTTGGATATTATGGGTTATTTTCTGATGGGTTTTATGCATAGCTGTATATAGGGTTTATTTTTATCAGAGGGTTTAATTTTTTACTTAGGTAACATGTTGAGTCACGTTTCTTAAGATTCTCTTGGAAAATGTTCACTTGAGAAGCTGCAGAAATGTGCTGAGACTAATTTCTCAATTAGTATAAGCAGCAGCAGGGTGGCAGTTTTAATATTGATAATTTATAAGCAGAACCTACTTCAGTTAGAAATTTTTGCTATTGACTAACAAACTACTTTCAGATATTCCTGAAAAACTTCATAATGAGGTCTGCTTTATTTACTACTTATCCAGTGGTTTATTTGTTATTTGTCCAGTGGTTTCTTTCTGTGGTGGCATTTTGGTTATGGTTTTGTTGTTGGTTGGTTTGGGGTTTTTTTTAAGGATTGCAAAATGTGACTGGAATGGCTAGCTTTTTCATGAGGTTTAATCAAATTCAGTTTAATCAAATTAATTTGAAGGTGATTGCATAATAATGAAAAGCAGCTACTTCTGAGGATGGAATTAGTTAAATACATGAGGGAGGAGGGGGAGAAAGACCCAACAAAGTTCCTTGCCTACATACAGCAAATAAACTTCACAAATTCTGTGCCCCTTTCAGTCTTCTGGACAGCAAAGCAACACAGTAAAAGGAAAACCTAATTGGGATTAACAGAAAATATAGAAGTTTATTTACTTTTAAAGAGATACTACCAAAATATTACCGTGGGTTTGTATGGATGGGCTCCTAACAACCGACACAGAGCAACTGCAGTCATGTTGAAAGGCAGTTGTATGACTCACCACTAGCTTTGGCCCAGATTGAAATAATTGTGAAAACATGGTAATAGAGGAATATAGCATTTATATCTGGTGAATGAGAAAAGATACAAAAGCATTAGTATAGTGGGAGAAGGACTTACAAAGTTAGGGTGGGGGCAGGTGTGTTAACTTTTAACAAGCTGTCCTACTATTTTTTCTCAAAATACATTTCTTGCCTGTAGTCATAGCTGGTTTCTTCTTGCCCAGCCTCAAGTATCTTATGATTCTTTCAGTGACCAAAAAGCTTCTCTGCAGATGGTCTGTTTATGGTACAGTGGGTACCATAAACATTGGACTGGTGCATTAATAAAAGATCCTCTACAGAACAGAGGAACCTATATAACACCTTCCTGTAGCCCTCTGTAGTGATGCTGTTTCCTGGACATGATCTTCTGGTTTGGGCAGCAGCACGAAAGTTGGTCCTGTTTTCACATAGGAGGCATATGAAATGATGTTTCTTCTAGATGAGAGTGAAGTAATCTGTGTTAGAAGGAACTGTTTGAGCTCTTTGGAAGTAACAAGTTGCCATCAATATTAGTGGGTTGTCTGTAAACTGAGAAGAACCTGTGAGTCACTGCCCTTTTTTCTTTTTTCTCCATCACTTCATTATTTCTACAATTCCTTTGACTTCATCTTCATTATAGCAGTCACGTTACACTGAACGGTTGAGTGTTACATTCTGAATTGCTTGATTTAAGAATCTAAGGTCAATAAAGACTTTTTAAAAACAAGTAGACTGTATTAAAAGAAAAGGAGAATACTGAAAATAGGTGAGCAAAAGTGCTACCTCTTGAAGATTGTACTTAATCTAGGCAGACTTATTTCAGGAGAGGTGTACTGAAATATTGCTGAAAGGCCTGTGGAAGAGCTTTAAATGTATAGATAAATATTTTGGTTTAAAGACGAAAAAGTCATGGTGATGTAGTAAAACCACATAAAAGAAGTTTTAAAAGAGAGAAGGTTTCTTGGAGGTCTTAAGGATTATTGTAAATACCTAATAATTTATTTTCCAAAAAATAATGTTGAAAGTACTACATGTTGTGTAAGTGATGTGCATTCTACTAACACACAGTTGTTTTTGTAAGAAATGAATAAGGTGTAAAGAAGAGCTACACATGGTTCTTATTAATTAATCTGTAGTTGCATTGTCTGGTGAGAGAATTACAAAAATCGTGCAATAGGAAACAGACCAACTGTGCGCTGCCTATGGCTGAATAATCTCTCACTGGACATGCTGTGATATCAGTTGTCCACTGAGAAAGATTTGGAGAAGGCTTAGTTTGAGACATTGCTTCTGGCTGCACTGGGCTTTTCTCTGAAGAGGGAAGGTTTAATTTTGGGGTTTATTTAGAGTTTTATCACCTGTTTGACATAATCCATTTGATGGATCAGATTTTTAGTTAGTTAGGCCATGTAGCAGTATACCTGTAAACTCAGTGATGCTGAACACCAGACTTTGAGATGTTTTAGGCTATCATATTTACTCTAAAATGCACTATATTAAGTCTTGAATCACAGCTTTAAAATTGTAACAAAGACAAGGGAATGAGAAAGCATTAGAAACCGCTACTGTTTTTTTGGCTCTGAAAGGCTGCATCACAGGGAGTCTTTATTGCTGCTGACAAGGACTTGTAGAGTTCTATCCCAGAATTTCACACAAAGTGTGGTTTGTTACTAATATCCCTGGTAAGATCCAATCCATTTTCTCTCAGTAAGGATTTAGGTCCGTGCCCGACACGTGCTTTTATGTTTCTAGGTTCCCTGCATTGTGACTTGAAGATCTTGGCTTTGGAGCAGCACTGGAATGCTTAGTTTAACAAACGTTTTTGTAACACTTCTCTCAAGCTTTTGCTGGCATTTGCATTTCTCCAGAGCGTAAAGAGGACCCACTGTTTCATTTGTCTCTAATTTCAGACATGTGGCAGCCATCCTTGATGGCTCTGGGAAGTTGTGAAGATTATGGAGGCAGATGTTGTTATTTAACTTTTAAGACTGTGATTCCTGAAATATCAAGCAGAAAATCAGAAAAATCTGGTTGTTATTCAGGCTTTTTCATGGGAGACAATGAATCATACAACCTTAGACACATAGAAATAAGGTAAAAAGAAGAGATCTGGCTCATTAGAGAGCTAATTTGCTGGACTTGAGAGGCTTTGTAATAAACACAGCCTAAAGCTCCATGTTGCAAGTAGTAGATCTGTTCTAGCCTCTAAGTCAGAGAAACGCTGAATTGTTTTTCAGAGCAGTTTCACGTCCTTGTATCTGTGGAATAGACACTTGTACCCATTTGTAAGGATTAAACTATTCACATGCATATGGCATAAGCCCAACTGAAAGAGAGACTTGCTGTTATAGGCTGCTGGATAAACCATATAAATCAAATAATTTTTTGAGGTCATTCAGTATTATTGTGCACTTAGAAAATAGTATATCATAATGTCATCAACAATAGGGTTGTTTGCTTCTGAAGCCAGTTCATTGAGTAGTTTGTTGCAGTGATACAGTATCTTAGATATTTTTGAATGTGTGAACATGTAGTTGTATTTATTTCTCCATAAAGTAGTTTGAAATGAGAAGTCAGTCTAGTTGTGCAGCTTGTAGCATTTCTAAGTGTACCCCGCACTTGGAGAATTTTAGTTTTGAGAAATTGTTCTCAAATGCCTACTTCAGTGAAGATACAGAAGACTTCTTGAGACACCAAAACCGTAGTGTATCTCTGAAGTACCATAATGTTCGTGCTGTTTGTTTGGGTTTTTTCTCCAATATATCTGTTATCTAGAAGATTTTTAGGCTGACAGCCTATGCTGAGCTCTGTCGTATAACTTCAATTCTGTGACAGTTTGTCTGTTACTTGTTAAGATGGGACCTGTACCGTTTCCCAGGAGATGTTTCTATTTTCCTTTGGCCCCAGAGAGAGTAAAGCTTCATATTCTTGTACCACATTGTCCTTTTCTAGACAAAAGAGCATCAGCTGCAGTTCTGGTTATTTTTCTAAAGTGTTCCATACAACAGTAGGCTTGTTAACTTCGGGCCTGTCTTGTTGAAAGGAAAATCTCTTGTAAAAGGTAGCTCTGGCCCAGTGAAGAATAAGCAGTTGTACATACAGAGAGCTTGTCAAAACATCTAGACTTTTTCTTTTAATATGAGGAAACAAATTAATGACTGGAAAGTGTTAAAAATAAAGTTGGGGAGAAGAGGTAAATTAAGCCAAACTAAATAATGCAGCTTAGTTAAACAATAACCGTAGTATAACCATCAGAGAAAGTTTGCAAACATATTCTGGAACAGTTGCCAAAACTGTGGAGGGTATCTTAATGAACTGAATAGTTAAGATCCCCACTTGATGAAGTCTTAGCGCACAGAGGAGAACAATTGTGCTTCATCAAGGAGAAATGACCATGAAGATCTCTTATTTTGTTAATTTCTCTATTATAAGCTCATTGCTATCTATCCTGACTGTCTCTAAGGTTATTCTAACAGGTTTCTAATTAAGAGCTAGAAATTCTCATTCCTTTAACAAGAAAAAACCCACCCTTGATTTTCATTACTTGCAAGTTATAAATCCTCAGGTTGACATCCTCATGTCAGTATGAAAGTTGGAAAAGCATATTTCCTTTTTATCCTTTTGTTTGGCTGTATAAGCATCATTTAAAAGAAAAACAAATTAGAAAGTAATGGAGCACTGAAGAATATAAATAAATAGTTTTCCCTTCCATATCGTGGTTATTTTCCTAGGAGAAGTTATGTATTTTTAATTACTCAGACTAGCTATTTTACATTGTGCTAGTTGTGCGT